AAAAGGGCTCCAATTAAACTTTCAGATGTCTGCACTGGAGTAATATTTAAAAAGGATTCATCTTATGATGTTGGGTTATGGGGTTTAACCAGGTTTTACTGTTTGCTTTACATACAGGAGACAAGTCTATATGTATTTTATTTTCAAGTTCAGTTCTCTTGCCTATAGCAAAGTGCTTTCTCCTCTCTGCTTCTAAAAACAAATGTAATTTTCATCTAAAATAGCAGAATAAAATTACCTATGTATTTTAGGTCCTAGAAAACAGACTCTGTTTTGACAGAGCCTCAGTTTCATAATTCATTCTTCACATAATTACATAATCCAAGCTCATTATTTAACAATCGCCATGTTTTAGCTGTATCTTTTTCTGTATATTTTATTCCATAGCAACATGCTTTCTAGCTCTCCAACAACCATTTTGCTTAGGGAAGATGTCTCAAAGATTTCTCTTCACATTGTAAATTACCAAGAAAGCAAAAGGCCTTGAAGGCTTGTGAGGAATAGACCCAGAGAAGTTTCTAACCGTCGTTGATTATATGTCCAACAAGTACTTTTCAAGGGCCCTCAATTTGCTAGGTAAGGATCTAGGCACCAGACATAGGATGAAGTAATGCTCATGCATGTAGGTTCTTAAGTTGCTTGGGTTCAAATCACGGCTATATAATTTAGTATTTCTTTAAAAAAAAAAGTGAGTCATTTACCTCTCTCTGACTCCATTTACTTATTTAAGAAATAAGGCTAATACCTTTCTCCTGCACCTTGTTAGGAAGGTTAAGTGTCATATCGTGTGAAAAACCACTTAGAGCTATTCTTGGTACATGGTAAGGACTCAATGCATGTCAGCATCAGTACAGGAAGATGTGAATGGTGCTCTTTGCTAAAGTGCCACTCCACCATCACCAGGGCTGCCTGCTATGTTCTCTCCTATAGTCACCCTATCCATGCTATCAAGGAAATTATAAATGCTCTAAATAGAAAGTAGGATTGTAGTGCTGGAAATTCCTCAGTTCATTCTCGCTCCTGCCTTTTACAAATGAGGACAATGAAGTTCAGAGATGCTGCCCAGTCTACATCAAAACTCAAAGTTAATTAGGAGTGAAATGGGTCTTAGTCCTTGGGTGTCTACATTCTTAGTCCAAGCACTGGGCCAAAGAAGTCAGCTAAATGCAAAACTAGCCCATTCCTTTCTCATCTGGCTCTTATTTGACCCCACCAAGGAGAGCAAATGACACTGCTCTTCTAGGTGGGAGGGAGCTCACCTTGCTGTAAGATGTCTAAATTTAGCCTCTATAGATGGCCTACTCCCTGTACATTCACTCTGGCTAACAGACTGCTATGAGATTTAAGGCACTTTCCAAGGTGTTGCTTGGTGGTTGCTATGCCAACGGAATTTAATGGAAATAGTGTTTTCTAGTAGATTATTCTGGTGGAGGCTTTAAAGCCAAATTACAGCTAGGACTCTGAAGCTTAAAAGATGCAAGTGATTTGTACTGGCACACAGTAGGCTTGCCATAACACTTGTTGAGAGACGGAAAGAATGAATTCACGTATGTAATTAGTTGCAGCCAGGAGTTGGAAGACAGAATCAGTGGAGAACTGATGGGTTACCTAAAAGTCAGTACTTAAGGCCAGTGTGGAGCAAGTGGACTTGTGCCCTTCTTGGGAAGTGTGTAGCTAGCCCTGGGTTTTCATAATTACTTGGCACTCTGTGTGAAATAATTCATCTGATTTCCAAGGGCTGACACTTTTTAATGAGTCACATTATTCAGTAAACAGAGAAGAAAGGGACTCTATAAATCTCCATTCAATTCCTACATATTCCAGCAGGAATTCTCTGACAACCTCAGGCTGAAGAGCTCTTTTTCTAAATGAAAGCTATTTTCTATATCAACCATCTGGTCTTCCTTCCCTCCTCCTTTCCTATTTTCCATTCTGCCCATACTCTTTTTCTGCCTTCCTTCCTTCCACAGTGGCAGGGAAAAGAGCCACTGGAGTCAGAATTAGCCTCAAATCCTTCCTGTCTTGGAAGCTCATGAGTGGTGTGACCTACTGCAGCATTCATTACACCTTGAGCAACATTTTCTCTTGTGCACAAGGGACAACCAATGCCTGCCTTTGATGGTTCTTTAAGTCATGGATTGTTTCTCAAAACATTAGTGGTAACAAGAATTACTTGGAGAGGTAGGTGAAAATGCATATTTCCAAGACTCATGCCCATTGATTTCAATCAAGGTCCCAGACATCCTCATTTTGACAACCTCCCTAGGCTTCATGGGTCCTGCTTTTAGAAACACTAGATATGGCTGTATATGCTTAGTAGTCAGACACATTGTAAATACTCTGAAGGTGGGAGCTATGACCATTTTTCATTCAACACACATTTACTGAGCATCTATTACGTACCAAGTGAGATACCAAGCTACATAGATTCTTCCTACTTAATTTCTTTTACTATGAATTTACTTCATTTATGTATGCCTTAGATCACCGGCTAAGTTGTAAGCTCTGGGAGGGAAGGTTAAAACAGCATAATGTAGCACAAAATAAAATAAATGTTACAAGACATGAATTTGAATCCTGTTTCTATTATTTATTAGTTTATGACTTTATGTAAGTACTTTGCCTCGTGGAACTTACTTTGTCAAAATCTGTTAAGGCAGTGAGTATAGAAGTTAAATGCCTAGAATTTGGGGTTCTGGCTCTTTCTGTTTTCTAGGTGTGATCTTGGGAAAGTTATTTAACTTCTTTGAACCCCCATTTCTTCATATGTAGAGATGCGATTCATTCGTTCAACGTGCATTCTGTCAAGAAATATTTTTTTAGCACTTTATAGGTGATCAGCACTGTGTTAGGTATTTGGAATACCCTGGAGAGCAAGACAGAGTCCCTGACTCATGCACCTTACAACTTAAAAGGGGACATAAATATTAAACAGACACAAGTAACTCATTCTATTGTAATAAATTCTGTTATGATAAATTGTATCAATGGAAGCCAACTTAGTCTGTGTCAGGGAAGACTTCTTCAGAGAAGGGATCTTAAGTTGAGCCCTGAAGGGCAAATAGGCATGAATGGGTAAAGAAGCCCCAGAGATGGGAAGAGCTAGACTCAGTGGTACAGGGATAACTCTGTGGCTGAAGCTGAGGACCTAGTTCCTCTACCTCACAGGTGTGGAAACATTTGATGCAATAAAATGCCTACCATAGTGCCCACACTGCCCAGATACATAATGATCATGGAAATATATTTGATTGGTTTGGGTCAGTCAATGTATGAAGAGGTATTGTGGAAATGGGTGGTCCTCAAGTTTCTTCAGAATAACTGGGAGGGTTTGTTAAACCACAAATTGCTGGAAATCAGTTTCCAGGCTTTTTGATTCAGTAGTTCTGGCCTGAGGCCAATCATAAGCTTTTCTTAGGTTGCCAGGTGATGTTCATGCTGTTGGTGGGGGAAGAGCTGTGTGCAAGTGACACTCTGGGAACTATTGATGTAAATTGTAAGGTCAGATATACCTGCGGGAGGAAGTGGAATCTCCCACAATGCTCAGGTCTTGATGCGGCACAGAACCTTTCTATAATTATTTAATATTTGTGTCATTTTTAGATTTGGGAAAAGTCTGAATCCAAGATCTTTTCCCTCTAGAGCTCACTTTTGTTGCATTCAGCCATAAAGGCAGCCAGAGTGACCTTGCGTACTGCACACCCAATCACCAAGATAACCTGACCCTCCATTATGTGCATCCTTCAGACTTCCAACAATTTTTGCTAAATAATTATCTGGAATAAACAATTTTGAGAGTAAATCAAAAGGCAACTTCAATGAAATATTTCTAGAGAGAAATACCTTCACAGTTGCCTGGCTTGATTGATGTGGAAGTGAGTACATAATAATATCCCTTCTTGTTTCTGATTTTTTTTTATTGGCATGTAGGCCTCTTATTGAATTAATATTAATAAATGAAATAACAATAACCATAAAAAAACTGCCTTTATCAGTGTAGGTCTGGGCCAGAGAACCTTACCCCATTTGATCCCTGACATCACATTAAGAGGTAGGTCCTGATTCAGTCTCCATTTTATTGACAAAAATCCAAAGCACAGAAAAATCTTGACTCAGGTCCTAGACTCAAGTCCAGAGCCAGGATTTGAATCAAGTCTGACTCCAGAGCTCAGGTTCTTAATTACAGTTATGTAATGATGCATTTGTCAAAAACAAAAGAAACAAAAACCCTCTCTCAAAACAAAACACAACTAAGATATTCTTGAGCTAATCACAGTAAAATAAAATCAGTTGAAACAACTTAAATTGCCTCCCTGGCAATTCAAGATGCCAAGAAAACCCATCAGTTACTTTTATCCTGGTTTCATATTTCAGGATGTAGACTAAGAGTATCCCAAAGCAGGTTTAAGGTAAAACAAAACAAAATCCAACAATCTGAGACATCAGGATCCTTCAGAAGAAAAGAAATCTCTCTTTAGGATGATAAATCTTCGCTTTTCTGGAAAAGGAGAGTGTCCCCCCAGAGGATGGAGAGTCCTTGGTGGTTTAACTGTTAACAACTCCTATATTTTACTAGATTTAGTTCCTCCTGCTAACTTAGCTCCAGGACACTTGGCTTGGAAGGCGGCGTAGACTTTCTTGGGTAGATATTTTGGGACATTCTCGCCCAGTAGTTTAGGATGAAGGGGTCATAATAAATACCTGGCCCCTCTAGCCTGCAGATTTTTCAAAGAGACGGCCAGCCATGCTTCATCTTCTTCCACACTTTCCCAGTCCCTAGTAACGGTAAAGTGCAGAAAAGCTTGCCAGGGCCTGCAGAAAGCGCAGCGCCTACGAGGCTGGCACGCGTCTCTCCTTCCCTCCCCCGGGAACGATCTCGGCACCTCCCGGTGATGTCAGTGGAATCCTGAGGCGGATCCCTCTCCCGGGCCGGGGGGAGGGCGCATGGCCTCCAGCCAGCTGGGCAGAGCCGGGGTGGAGAAGGCACCGGCAGAGTGGCAGCCCGGTGCCCGGCGCCCGCCTCCGGCCCCCGGACGCGCCGCCCCGCTGGCTGGCCCGCGCCACGCTCCGCCCTGGACGCCGCTCATCCCGGCGCGGGGGTGCGCGGGGGGTGGGAGCGGGCCCCGGCTCAGCCTGATTTACGGCTCTGCTGAAAACCGCTCGGCTCCCGCAGCATCAGCACCGGCGGTGGCGGCATTAGCCGCAGCAGCAGCAGCAACAAGTCGGGTAAGTGGCCGCCGTTGGGCATCTGCTCCCGCGGTCCGCCAGAGGGGGCGCGGCCGAGGGGCCCGCCTGCGCTGAGGGAAGGGGTCCCGGTTCTCGCAGCACCGCGGGGAGTTGGGAGAGCCGGCTTCGCGGCCCCCACTTGCAGGGCTGCAACTCGTGTGCGCATGATTTATGTCATCCCACCAGTAATCTACTCTGACACCCGCCGACAGGCAGGCAGCGGAGCGTGGGCTGGGAGACCTGGGACCCCAGAGACAGGGTCATTGCCTGCCTGGCCAGCTGGTGCAGACCTTTTCCACCAGCCCTGTGGAATTGGGGTTTCCGCTGGGCCCATGAAAGCCTGCATGCTCAGGAGTACGTGGTTATTCATTTCCCCATCCAGAGATGCCACCTCTTTCCCCTTGCCTCTCTAGAATCCTGATTCCCCTTCACCACTTGCCGTGGACTGTGGCCCTGCTCTGGATCAGGGTTTGTATCCCATATCCACAAAACCAGTGGTTAAACATCCCATTACAGAACAGGAAGAAATTCCCCTCTCTGGGGGCCAGAGGCTTATTAACCTGGAAGCTTTGCCAGTCTAGCTGTCTGGGGACCATTTGCATCTCTGTTTTTGAAGAGATTGAGGACCCAATAAAGACACTTTTCATCCTGAGATCCCATCTGGGACCCCTCATTGTGGGATACTTGCTACATTAAGTAGAAGCCATTCCTGGAGGGAATAGATTTGTACTGCTTGCAAAATTGGGTTATAACAGTCATCTGTTGCTAGGGTGAAGGAAATCAATTCCTACAAGGAAACCAGAATTTCCTGTTATTGAAAGAGTTAGCTGATACCTACCCAGCTCAAACATTGGCCAACTTCAGGTTTTCAAGTTAAAATAGGAGCAGAGAAAGCAGATCCATCCAGAACACTTGATATTATAATAAAATCTTGGCCATGGCCCTACTTATACCAAATGATGCTTGACACATCGCGTCCCCAAATTTAAGTAATGCTAGAGAAAGGGACCATTGTTATTCTGATTACATTTTGATTTATGTCATCCCACCAGTAATTAATGAAAAAAGCAAATCGTAGGTTGAAAAAATTTCAGTCCATGTGTGTTTAATACTTGAGTAACTTTCATATACTTGAGAAAAGATCACTAAGCTTGTTCTCTTAGGACTTATTTTGACAATTCATGTGAATTTTTCTCATTTTCATGTAAGTTATGGTTTTGCATGTGGTATATTAAATTCAGGAGGGCAAGAAACAGGAGTTCCTCTTCTGGGTCTGCCCGTTTCTTTCTGACTTGGGGTTCATAATGCTTTCTTCTGGGAAGAGGGAGGATTATCCACCTTTTTTATTCTAGGCAGGTGTTGGCAGACTTTTTTTTTCTGCAAAAGGCCAAGTAATGAATATTTTTGACTTGCTGGGCATAACATCTGTGTCTCACTTATACTACTCACCTCTGATATTGATGTGCAAAAGCAGCAGTAAATGATACAGAAATGAATGGATGTGGCTTGCTGGATTTGACCTGGATTTGCTGGGTGTAGGTTTTAACTTTGACACAAAATCAATATAAAGTATTCTATACAAAACTTGCTTTAAACCAAAAGGCCACTGCCCCCATGGAGATGAGCAGCAATCATTTTGGTAGTATTATGTATTTATTTATTTTAAACTCCCCATTTTTCCTCCCTCCCAGGACTTTTAGAGTAATGCAACAGAAGGCTTTTGAGGAAGGCAGATATCCCTGGCAGGAGTCCTTTGAAAATGTTGCTGTGTGCCTGCCATTCCGCTGCCCGAGGTGTGGAGACCATACCAGATTTAGAAGCTTGTCATCCTTGAGGGCCCATCTGGAATTCAGTCACAGTTATGAAGAAAGAACGCTCCTGACAAAATGCAGCCTCTTTCCATCTCTCAAAGACACAGAACTACTCCCTTCCTCCGAACTCCTGAAACAGGGAAAATTGCAGAGCCATGGCAATGTGGTAAAGCAGAAACCAAGCTATGTTAACTTGTATAGCATTTCGCATGAACACTCCAAGGACCGAAAGCCATTTGAGGTGGTGGCAGAGAGGCCTGTGTCCTACGTGCAGACCTATGCTGCGATGGACATACGTGCAGACTCACTGGATGGGCCACGGTCGAGTCCTGGACTTCCCACCTCAGACACGAAAGCCTCTTTCGAGGCACATGTCAGAGAAAAATTCAATCGCATGGTTGAGGCTGTGGATAGGACCATTGAGAAGAGAATTGATAAACTCACCAAAGAGTTGGCCCAGAAAACTGCTGAACTGTTGGAAGTCCGGGCAGCATTTGTGCAGCTGACTCAGAAAAAGCAGGAAGTTCAGAGACGAGAGCGGGCCCTCAACAGACAGGTGGATGTGGCAGTGGAAATGATCGCAGCACTAAGGCAGCGCCTGACAGAATCCGAGGAGGAGCTTCTTAGGAAGGAAGAGTAAGTGGTGCTGAGACAGGATGCTAACCCCTTTGCTTTAGACACCTCTCTCCAAGTTATAAGCAAATGTTAAGCAAGATTTGATTTGTAGTACTTATAGGTGTCTTGGCTGCATTTCTCTCATTGGTATAGTTGAACCAGGAGGTACAGGCCTTGATATTATTCACCCCCTCTGTGTACGGTCTGTAGTCCAGCAACTTTAAAGTCATAGTGTCCAACTCCTTGTTACCTTGGAAACTATAAACCACTGATGTTTTTAGAGGAGTAACACCACCTACATATGGGGGATCCCATAGGTAGTGAAGTTGCAAGTGAAGTTGAATGTGTAGGCGGAAAGAGGTACCCTGAGAGCCATACCTCCAGACAATATCTGTATTATAGAGTCAAGAACTTGAGATGCTGTCTTATTCAAGCATAAAAATATTGCTGAATTCAAATAACTTTGGCTTATTTGCCATTTTGGATTATCTGCCCACATTAATGAAGTGTCATTAGTTGAGAATTCGTTTAATTATAAGTTACATTTGGAAAAAAAGAGACATTAGGAAACCCAGAGGAAAGACATTCTGATATAGCTATACCTCTGTGATTTACATTTGAGATTTTCCTTTTTATAAAATGATGCATGATACTAGATTATCTTTGCTGCTTGCAAAGAGTTGACACTGGTTTTGCAAGTCAGAGGTGATCATAGAAGCTGTTACTTGAAAAATCATCATACTTAGAGAAGAATTTCTTTATCAGTAAGTATGGATTTAACCCACACTGGAAAAGCATAAGTAACAATTCAGTGTATTTTCCAAATGTAGAACATCAGATTTTATTTTAAATGGAGGCTCAGAATTTGTAGAATCAAAGGACATAAAAATTGACAGACTAAAACATCCTAGAAGACAGGTTTCCAAATAATTTGAGTGCTACTATAGAGATGATTTACTTTCATCTTCTCTTTGCCCTCTGGCACTCTTCTATCTTGTGTCGCTTCTTAAAATGTAATAATTAAAACTCCCTAAGAAGCCCTATGTATTAAAGAGGTCTATACTTGCTATCATTAAATGTTTATATTCTACCTTGGAGGGAAGCATAGGCATTTTTTTTTAAATAAAGGAAGGGTAAATTTGAATCAGCTACTGATTTGCTTTACTAGTTTTTTTTTTAGCTTCTGATGTTTCCTGGTAGGAAGGTAGTATTTTTTTTTTTTTTTTTGACCCATTGTGGTCACCAAGATGACCTGCCGTACGTACACTGTTGGGAAAATAGCTGATGGGGTTTGCTTTGTGTGTAGAAAAAGGCCTAGAATTAACTTTGTAGTATATCTGTTTGATTTAAGAGCATTGAATTTAAAAGGCCACCTAATTGATATTTTGCATTCATTGGTTTGTTCTATTGTGTAGATTAATAAGAGAAGTAATAATGAACAAAGGGTGTGAGATGGTGGCTGCTTGGACTATGGAAAGACAAGATACCGAAGGGATGGATCTTATGGTTAGATGTAGGTTATTGTCAAGGATCTAACTTTGGGGTGATAGGGTCAAGAGTACTTTATTAAAAATAACTGATTAAATAAAAGTGATCTATACATGGGTGCGTAATGATATTGTGTTATGATTAATCCATGCTGTCTCTTGAGCACCTAATGAAAAACATACACGTAGAAAACAAATTTTTAGCCAGATAGAATTGTATATGTAAAAAAATACCCCCTCCTCTCCAAGAATATCCGCTCCATTCTCTGGAGACAGCATTGTGAAGTTTACTAAACATCCGTCCAGAGCTTTTCTGTATACACATAGTCACATGTCATTTGTACACGTAGAGTTATAATGCTTTTCAAAATAGAGTCATGATGCATACTTTTCTGCCATTTGCATTTAGAGCTGTTTTTGTTTTAACATAATATGTCTCAGGCATCTTTTGTGCTCAAAATGTGAATTATGCCATTCCTTTTGGCTGTTGCATAATATTCCATGGATGCATAAGGCTGATTTAACCAGTGTGCTGTTGATAAATACACAGTTTGTTCCATTTTCATAGTATTATAGTGCCCAGTTAATATCACTGTACAGTTTTGTTGCCAATTTTGTTGGCGTCCCTAGGAGTTTTCTTATTTTTAGTTTAATTTTGGGGCTAGAATTGAACCTAGGGCCTTGTGTATGCTAAGCACACACTCTACCACTTAGCCATCACCTCAGCACGAGTTGATTTTTAGTATACCATTTTCAGGCTAACAGAAAACTATGGAATTTTAAAAAACACAACTTGGAATAAAAATACAGTGACGTTGCCTTAATCTTTTAAATGTAAAATAAACAAAAGTCTTCATTTTTTAAAGCTTTAATTTGGGTCCATACTGTCAGTTTCTGTATTCAAGCCTCAAATAATCACTCTTTCTGTAAATAAAATAGACTGAAAGAGTCTTGTTTTCCATGAAGGACACTGGAGCTTTTGGTCTTGGGAGCCACTGTGGACAGCATCCTCAGTGTCTAGCTTTGCCCCTCCTCCCCCTGCCATCTGATTGGGGATGCATAGGAACTGCCCATCTCCTGCACCTGTGATACGGGGTGGATTTGGCTGGATCTGCAAGACTAGGTCTTGCCCCTTTCCTCCTTACCACTCCCTTGGAGGGCTGTGCCCTCCACTAAGAGATGGACTATCAGGTAAGGCCAGGCCCTGTTTAGCTGGGGTACATACCAGAAAATGTGCTTCCTTGCCAAATGCCTCCACATAAGCTCTCAAGGCCCATTTGTGAGAGAAAGTAGATTGTTGTGCTCCTATGTGAAATTGACTTAAGCTTGGGGACACTTTGGAACATAGATGGTTGATTTGTTTTTTTAAAAAAGCAAAAGTCTGATTTTTAGCATCCACATAAGACTTTCTTACCTATGGATTTACCCCTCAACTATAAAAATTCTTTCTTTGAAGTTGAAATAAAAAAATCTCTAAAGCTGCATCTGCCCTGAGGTCATTGTTCTATGGAGGTCATATATATACTGTAATACAGAGGAAGTTTGAATTGGCAATATTTTGTACTTTCACGCTAGTGAATTTTCTTGTACTTGTGTAGAGAGGTATCTGTATATTTTTGGAGTGCAAATCCTAGAAAGAAGTTGCTCATCTTTACAAATTCTGTGTAACTTTAAGTCCCTCTGAAATGGGTATTTACTTATTGACGAGGAATGGGAGATGTTGGGCAGCATTGCCTGTAATCAGGTAAATCAATCCCAGCCACCTTGCAGCAAGGTATCCCTTAACAAGAAAGGTTGAATTTAAATGGTAACTGAGTTGGCCTTTTAGAGTTTGGAGAAATTGAGGGTAATAATGGTAATCCCAAATTTACTTGAGGACCTTTTCCTGGTAAATTTGGAAAGTCACTATAGATCACCAGTGATGTGCCTATCCCTGTACTGGGGGTATGTGGGGAATATAAAATTCTCAGTACTTTCCTCTAAGGTGCTTATGTTTTACATAGTAAGAATAAAGCATACCCACGATCATGCCTGTGCCCAAAAGCCAGGGTAGCTTTAACAAGTGCTTAAATGCAAGCCATAGTTTCAGGTTGATAGAACATTAGGGGACAGATCTTTTTACAGGGAGAAGCCACACTGAGGGAATGAGGAGGAAGGGTGGAATTTGCAGTAGCAGCCAGATGATGGTGACATTGAAGGGGCAACTGGGCTGTCAGAGATGGCCCCTGAGTGGATGGTGTGATTTTTGATTTTTAGAACTAGAAGGTGTCTGTCCTCTGTCTCCTTTGGGGGACACGCTCATTACACAGATGCAGAAAATAAGCCCAGAGCAGTAGAATGACTTGCCCAAGTACAAAGATTTAGTGGCAAAGCTGAAACTGAAGCCATTTTCCTGCATCCCTGCAGAGTGCTTTTTCTGTTAGTTCACCATGTCCTAGCCAGACTTCTGAAAATGTGATATTTGCCCAAAGCGTCGAGACTTATGTAATATTCAGCGTGGCCCATTTTGGAATAGGCTTGTTTCTTTGCTATTTTAAGAGGGCTGCTATGATGACATCATTTATTTTTCTGATGTGATTAAAGAAAATACCAGCTGGCATCAAAGGTGTTGGGAGCAGGGAAGTGGTGCCACCACAGCCATGACATTAAGCTTCTGGTACACCCACCCCAGGGCTTTCATGTTCCAGCAAGGGCTTTTAACTGGACTCTCTGGATGTCCTTGCCCAGTCAGGGTAGGGCATGTGTCATTGCCAGCCTGTGATTGCCTCGAGGGGCCTCTTTGTGATCCCATCTCTAATTTCCGTCTACAGCTTTGTGAGCTACAATAGATAGATTCTGTTTCCCTTCTCCCTTCATTGCTTGCCCCATTCCCAGCTTGGAGCCCTGCAGAAGATAACATTTACTAAGAGCCTACTGATTGGCAGGTTCTACTCCAGGTTCTGGTCAAACAGTGCTTCCCCACATGCAGTTCCTTCCTCCAAAGCACTTACAGAGCCCAAGGAAGCATGGCCTCCAACAGATCACTAGGCTGTGATAAAAGAGACATGGAGGGCAGCCTGAGCCCATCATGTCCATTTAGATTATTATCGAGGGCTGGCCATGGGATGCTGGCCTTTAAAAGGCAAGATTGACTTGGTAACTTGCTTTACACAGTCAAACCCTCTGGCCATTTACTTAAGTCATTCCCCTTTTCTGGGTCAGCCAAAGCACTGGGTAGACAAGCTGGTGTCCATACTGATGAACAGCTAGGAGACAGGCCAAGAAGCAGAGTGCAATAGAGGGGAGAGGGTTCTGTTGGTTCCATATTGTGAGGTTTCCTCTCTTTTCAAGCTGTGTCCCATGCAGGCTTAATAACTAAAACAGAATAAACCAGATGTCAAGCATGTTTTCTTGGGGATGCCATGTGGTAAAATTAGGAAACCAGAAAAATTTTCTGTTTCTCTCTGTCTCTCCATCTCTCTCCTCATGCCCACACCCAACCTGAGGAACTTAGAATATAGTGTTGATCTACTTAGAGCCAATAAGAATAATTTGTTATTATTATAATTTGTTATTATAAAGATTTATTATAGAATCTTTTTTTAAAAAAGTTCTTAACGAGGAGCATATTGGTTTAGTCCAAGAAACCAAAAAGGAAAGATGAGACAAAAAGCCAAAAAAAATGGGTTGGGGGAGTCTCCAGAGGTGTGGCTGGTGCAGATTGGCCTGTGTGTCCCCTTTGGAAACCAGGTAGGGCCTTGGAGTTTGCAGAGAGGCCCTTGGTGCTTGGAGCTGGCTGACTCTTGTTTCTGGATATACCTCCTGGCTGACATTATAGTCTGTCTGTGGTGCTCTGTGATCAATAGCTAAACTATTTTTAGCTAGAGGTATTTTTATCATTTCATATACCTCTGAAGAGGTTCATAAATCAGTAATGTAAAATGAAATTTAAATAACTTGGTAGAGCTCTGCCTTTGGGAGGAGAAAGCAATGTTAAAAGTGTTGTTAAGAATAGGAGGCATCAGGTTTAGATCCCACCCCCATTCCTGCAGGAGGCAACTGTGGGTTGCTCATTGGATTTAGGCCCCAGTACTTATCTGGAAAAAGGAAAAATTGTCTTTGTAGAGACAGAGTTGCACATTCTATGCATTCAGCAGATATGTGTTGAGCCCCTATTGTGCACTAGACTCATGTTAGATGCTGGGTACCCTAGTGAAGGAGAGATAAGGTCCCTGCCCTCACTGGTTTTATGATCAAATTGGGTCAGTGGAACAACTGGTCTCCAGGGCTGTGCACTTTGATAGAGTGAGCATGAGGTTTTGTGGCGGATATGGCAGACTATCTCATCTACACTTGGTCATGTGTCTGGGTGTGGTTCCTAGCAGGAGAGCCTGAGGTTAGAGGGAAGGGCAGGGAGAAAGAAACTGGCAGAGGGAACAGCATATTCAAAAGGAAGAGTCTGGCTGGATGCAGGAATGAATGGAGTTTAAATAGACTTAAGAAATGATTTATGGATAGAATACTGTAACTCATGATAGGATTGGCTTCTAGCTGTGTTATTCACATAATAGTGTGTCTTTGGTTTTTCTCAATTAACCTGTCTTCAGCCCACCTCAGAAGAAGTAATTGAGGGGATTCAATCTGTGAAAAATTAAATGATATTATCTGTGTTTTAGACCATATGATCATCCTGTAAATGAATGAACTCATGAGTGAATGAATATTTTTTTCTAACTAAAGCTTTGAAACTACGCAGAAAGGGCTTTTCCCCTCAGTTCCCCCATCTACTCTGTTGATTTCTGAATGCCTGTGAATCCCAAGATACTGTCAGATTTCCAGGCCTGTAACTCATTCTGCATAATAAGGAGCTTCAAGGTCAGGTTCTCAAATATTACTGGCATGTTTTTACTTTATAGTCAAATATTGTTTCATCTATTTAATCAAGACAAAGAGTTTGTAACAGACTGACTGTAAGCATATTTTTCCATGAAACCTTATATTTAACCTTTTTTCCTTGTTAAATAAATAAGTCAAAGATGGGGCCAAAATTGGCCTAGAACCAGTTAATTTCCGCAAAGCACCCCTACTGGATTTCACTCAGCTTTGCCCTTATCTTCTCATCTGGCTTTCTAACTTCACCCTGAATTCTGAGTCAGAGGGATGAGAACCTAAAGTAAAACGACACACACCTTTTACTGCTCTTTCTGGTAGCATCAAATTATTCTTTCTCTCAGTCACATTCAGCTCAGCTTTGTAGGTACATATTTCTGTATTTGTTTCTTTTAATGTCTTCTCCCACTACATATATCTATTATGTTAACAAAAATAAAATTTTTATGGAAAATAGCTATTTTTCCAAAAACAATCTAGTGAAAATAATGTTATTAGAAGTTCTGCAAATATGTTTAATGTCTGGCTTCATAGAAGGCAGCTGGACTTTAGTGGTCCTACATTCAGTCTGTTACAGACTCTTTGTTTTGATTAAATAGATGAAAAAAGTAGTATCACACGGATACATAGCAGGAAAATGGAAGGATATTTTAATAGCCTTTTCAAATAATAGTGGATGTTCTGTCTTGATACTGTGCCAAAATGGAACAATTGGTAATTTCTTAAAGATTAATTGCTGTGTACGTCCTGAAAGCATATCAGTGAGCATTTTGTTCTCATACGTTGAAATCCATTGGTCTGTCTTGCACTTTGAACAGATGCTTTGCTGTTTGGAATATAATTATTAAAGAGGTTATATGTGCAATGTGGTTAAACCTCTTTCTTTTCCATTCAGAAATTTCTCAAGATTCCTTGGGGAAGTACATTGGTGGCTCTGGATATCCTTCATCCAGGTGAACAGGATGTGACAAGGATCTGAGATGTACATACCTGCTATTTCATGATTACACACTCTTTTCATTTAATGAAGATTTTTTATACAATCTGCATGAGGAACTTCTTCAGCCTTTGTTTTATGTATTCAGCTTCTCTTTTAAAACAAAATCAGACTATAACCATCAAGCTTGATTTAATGGCCTTTTCTTTTCTAGTTGATGTGATACATTCACAAACTGAAATTAGGTTAGCATTTGTGCCAGGTTGTTTGAAAAATACAAAGGTTATTAACTTCTCAGCTTCAGGGCACAAGATAATTGGATAAGGGAGGTTAGAAAAAGATTCTTCTTTTCTCCAATATGACATAACACTCCATGATAGACTAGGAGCATTAATGTTAATTTTTAAAAGTTTTATATGGAACCAGCAGCAAAACTTATGTGATTTAAAAATACAGCCATAATCATATGCAGTGTTGCATTCAGATTCATTCTCTTGATTTTGCAATATTAATCCTGTGAGATTAGGCTGTCAGGTGTTGCTTTTTCCTCATATTCTAAACTGTACCGCCTGAAGGCCCAAGAGTAGTAAATATGCAGAGAGCAAAAAGACTAGAAAAAATATATAGGAAGTTGGCAATAGTTACAGTAGGACTTGACAGTAGTGGGGTAATAAGTGATTTTTGGTTTCTTGTTCTTTGTAAACATTACTTATAAAAGATATTTATTTAATATGTGTCAAGCATTGTATTGAATATGGATCATTGAGCAGAGAAAAAAAGCCCTTGATCCTCTAATAGGTCAATTTTCATAATAAATGTGAAATATCCCTGCAATAAAATAAACAAGTATTATAAACCTGAATGAATTGTTGAAAAAAAAAAAGGCTGGTCTCTTGTTTGAATTTTTGATGGTTTTCCCTTGTAAGTACACTTGGAGATGGTTTAATGATTCAGTTATCCTAAGATTTCTTTCATCATTACTAGGCCATACTGCCTAGGATGATGACTAGGATGGCTAGGATGGTCGGCATCTATCAATATGTTGAATGAATAAATTCCTGGCTCATTTATCCACTTTGTGTTCTAACATTCTTTTGCCCTGCAGAGAAGTAGTGACCTTCAACCATTTCTTGGAAACAGCAGCTGAGAAGGAGGTTCAGGGGAAAGCGAGGCTCCAGGACTTTATTGAGAATCTGTTGCAACGGGTAGAACTGGCGGAGAAGCAGCTAGAATACTACCAAAGCCAGCAGGTCTTAGGTCGAAGCCGTGACATCAGTGAGCATGTGGTAAGTCCCACCCTTCTAGTGGCCAGTGTGAGGTCCCCATGTATGGTGAGAGCTGGATGACTGGCAGGGCTCCCGAGGCATCCAATGAAAGCGTGCCTGGGCCACGCCTTTGTGTAGAGGGAAGCCAGATCCCAGATGGGTTGCACACCTCTCCTTCTTCACCCTCTTCCTCCATGCCCTGCTGAATTGCTATAAATAGCTTAATATTTGCTAAATGATAGAGTTTGAAGTATCCAAAGAAATCATTTGTTTCAACCTTGCTATTCAGGTAGATCAGAAGTTATCATTATTCTGTTGTGGAGCTCTTCAGGAGAATCTTATGAAAGCTGTGGTCCTTCTTACTAAAGCAAGATCCAAACACATACACTTTTTCCTTCCATTAATTGGAAGGAAAATGTGGTTCAACCATATCAATACATTAAATAGTGCTAAAGTAGAATTTCAACAAGAAACGTCATAGGTGGAAGGTCTAGGATAGACTTCTGCATACCATTTTACGTAGAGTTGAGGGGATTAAGAAAACTCTAGCGTCCAGATGAGAATCCTGGATGTGGGTGAAGATCCACATTCTCATTGGTGGATTAATTGAGACCCTGGTTTCTTTGTAGTGTGGTTGGGGGACACTGTAGGTGAAAGGAATGGGTGGTCATATTGCCCCCCTATATAGTTTCTTTGGTGTGGTGTCAACAACAAAGGCAAAGAAAGCATTTTTGAAACCCCAAAGTTGTGGTTTGTTTATAACATTTTCATGATTCATTGAGCTTCATTTATGCTTATCTCCTTTTCAGATTTTATTCTTTCACTGTATTATAAGGAAATATACTGTATTATGAGGAAAAGAAAAATAGGAAACAGTTTGGCTAACCAAAAGATTAGCAAGGTTGGCTGACTAAAAATTTGGCTTGAGCTTGTGGAAGTCACGATTTGAAGCAAATGTGATTATGTAATAAAACTAATTATCTAGAAGGAATGAGATGAAAGGCAAGTGGATAAAATAAGAAAGGCAGGGGAGGGAGACAGACAACAGGAAGGAAAGGAGAGAGGAACGTAAAAAATGAAAGAATCTTACCTAGTGCTTGCTGTAAAAATGTATACTCGGCTTAGTTCAGTGAGGCAAGCCCCAGAACCTTCCAGAACATAGTAGATGGGAAGGAAGTAAATTTGTTATGTCTGAGATTTTAGCACTGTTCCAAGCAGCCTCCTCTGTGTGAAACATTTATTATTATTTCCTAGGTGAGTGCCTACTAACTTCTCCATGAAGTACTTCTGAGTACTTCCCAACTTAAACCCCATTTTCTCCTTGGGAGACCATGATGGTGTCCAGTTCTGTTTTGAAGCTCTTCAAGAGAATCTTATGAAAGCTTTGGTCCTTCTAATTAAAGCAAGATCCAACCACGTACACTTTTTCCTCACCCAGGAAATAATAAATAATAACTAGCTGTAAAGTATCCAGTTGTGATTAGCTGTTGTTAGAGGGGGCACTGAAACCTTCTCTTAAAAGAGGGTTGTGGTAAGAGGTCATGGAGCCCCGACATAAGGTAAGAAGGCCTGGCTTTCAAAACATTCTTACTCTGCTTCTGACTGAGAGAGACATTTTTCCTGGAGCCTTTAAATCTTCTATAAAATAAAGATATTGAATTCAATACTCTCTTAAAATCATTTGGCATCCCAAATGGTTTGATCATCGCCTGACTTTGATGGTTAGGAATTCTAAAATTGATAAGTAGCATTAACAGTTTCAGTATTTAGGCTACTAAGCCACTCAGTGCTTGAAATTCTGTACTGAACAAAGGGAGAAGCCAGTGGAAGGCAAGGAGGATGAAAGGAAGCCATTAGTTTTCCTCCCTCCTCTATTTTTTTTTTTTTTTTTCGTACTGGGGCTTAAACCCAGGGGCACTTAACCACTGAGCCATATTCCTAGCCCTTTTTATTTTTGAATTTTTTATTAGTTCTTAGTTATACATGACTGTAGAATCCATTTTGATACAATTGTGTAAGCAAGGAATTTATCTTATTCTAACTAAGACCCCATTCCTATGGGTGTACACAATGGTGGGATTCACTTAGGTATTTTTATATACATACATATAGTCTCATTAAGTTGCTTAGGGCCTTGCTAAGTTGCTGAGGTTGGCTTTGAACTTCTGATCCTTCTGCCTCAGCCTCTGGAGTCACTGGAATTACAGGCATGCACCGCAGTACCTGGCTCTCTCTTTTTAAAATATCTATCTTTGCTCATTTTCTCTACTCAGTTTATTTTTGTAGCTTGAAAATTGAATACCTTCCAGAGACACAGCCCGTCGTTATTTCTCATCACATTATATCATGTAATCCCAAGATTAGTGGCATCTCCACTTTTCTAGTCAGATGATGTATGTACAAAATTGCATGTGTGCACACACAACACACATTTATACACATAAATATGTTCAAATATGATGGGAAATTAAAAAATATTTATGATTATATCTTCTGTATTCCAGACATGATAGGATCTGCCTTCAGCAGACTTGTCCTGCCTAAGGAAAAAAGTTGACTGATCCAAATAAAATGAAGTGCAGTTACGATTATAATAAGGAATCTAGAAATGAGAGCTGTGTGTGAATGGGGCAAGATCAGGCTGCAGCGAGGAGAAGCACCTCGTCATAGGAGGGACATGTGGCCCTGAGAAGACGAGGAATGAAGTGTGTAATTTTTGAAAGGATTGGGAAAATGTATTTTCTCCCCATTCCTGTGTATAGTCGTCCAAGTCCTGCTTTGAACCACAGTGTGCCATGTTATGAGATGGTCTACAGACCCTGTAGGCCATTTCTCCTTTTTTACTTAGCTTATTTCACTGTAATGATACATATCCACCTGTAAAATGAGGAGCCATGTCTTTGATATAAGCAGTGCTAAGTCTGGCCTCCTGGGCTGTCTGTGATGATAGACACAGAATAACTCAGAAGCTTTTAACAGGGAAAGTGTCAAATGGTATATTCAGGAAACTCTTTGACCCAGCTTAGTGAAGGTGTAGCACCCCGAGAAACTAAAACTTCCGGAGCCTTCACTCTAGCTGCACCCAGGATAGCTCCTTGATCCAGGGCCTCCAGGACAAGCAGACATGCTGTACAGTTCCTCTGTCCCCTGCCAGCTTGCACACCAGATCTCCCTCCTTCAGAACAGTCAGGAATGCCATCCCAGCCCAGCTCTCATCCTTTCTGCTAAGACTGCGCTGCCAAGAATGTGTCTGCTTTCTTCATCTCCTCCTTATATCTACCTTAATTCCCTCTCTCTCCTCTCCCCTTTTTGTCATTACCACTCCAGAAAGCAATGAAATCCCTAGATTGATAAGTGAGTTACTTCTTTCTAAGGTGACTTCTAGCATTAAAATTCTTCTGTGCTATGAAAAAAAATTTCCTTCCCTTCACATTTAGTGCCTTTTCTGAAATAATGTTTTGGCATCTGTATCTTTCCCTTAATCCCCTTGAGCATTTATGTACTTTTTCACCTGGCTGATTTCTAAAAATACAGTGTGCTTACTCAGATATTTTATCTTTATGCTCTGAAAAAAAAAATGCTGTCAAATTAGACACAAAGTGACCTAATATCCCATCTGCCAAAAATCTTTCCAGAACTGCTCACATGGAAGGTCAATGAGACAATTTGAATAATCTTGCTTTAAGTGTTGCTTTTATTTCCTTCAGATTGCTAAATTAGGACTAGCAGTAATTCTTTTAACACATACTTATTGGGGGTGCAGTATTTACTGGGTGCTAAGGAAGCTGCAGTGAAAGGCCCCTGCTCTCAGTGGGGAGGGGGACATAGTTTCATACAGTGATAAGTACTGTGAAGGAAGAAAGTAAAAAGATACATTTGAGGGGTTCAGGGTGGGGAACTTTGGATTGAGTGGTCAGGAAAACCTTGCTGGGGAGGCAGCATTTGCACTGTGACCTGAATACCAAGCAGGATGCAGGTCTGTGGAAAGTGAGAAGCAGAATGTTCTAGGCAAGGAACAGGCAGAGCAGGAGATGAACTTGTGTTTTAGCAAAGCCACTCTGGCTGCTCTGTTGGGAATAAGCTGGAGATGCAAAATGAAATATGGGGTAGGGGACTATTATAATAAAAGGTTAAGAGTGCTGGTAGCTGGAAAAGAGTGGAAGAAGTAGAGATAAGGATGTGTTCTGGGGTAGAATTGAAAAGACCGGTTGCCTTGATGAAGGAATAGATTTAACAGACAAGGAAAAGAGGAGACTCAAGAATAAATCCAAGGTTTTGGTCTAAACAAGTTGGGTACACTACCTATATAGAAGGCAAGTTGGAAAAGAGCTAGATGATCAGTTGCCCTAAGCCCGTAGCAACCTGAATCACCATGCTTATATTTTAGAAGTCCTTGTGGTCCTCTGTACCTATGGGCTCTACATCCATTCATTCAACCATAGATTGAAACTATTTGGAAAAAAATTACATTGGTACTGAACATTTACTGACTTTTTCCCTTGCCATTATTCCCTAACTGATGCAGTGTAACAGCTATTTTGATAACATTTACATTTTATTAGGTATTATAAGTAATCTGGAGAGGACTTAAAGTACATGGGAGGATGCATAAAGGTTCTATGCAAATATGAGACCATTTTATACAGGGGACTTGAGCATCTGCAGATTTCAGTATCATCATGGGTCCTGGAACCAGTCCCCCACAGACACTAAGTGTGTCTTAGCCACACTATCCCAAATACTGAAGTGGCCCCTTCTCTACATTTTCTTTGTTCTCTTCTGTTTGTCTGCTGATGCAACGTTGCTTCATCTAGTGAAAGCTGTATGAGGGAGATCAGGGATGAAAGTCTGGGAATACGCTGGGTTTGCCTATAAACGTAATGGTGACATCTGGATCACAAAATGATAATTATCAATTTATTCTGCAAATGAAGTCATTCCGAGCCACAAAAGTACATGCAGACATTTTATTGCATGGGTTATTAGGAGTGGAAAATAAGCTCAATGATAGATGGCCTCGGGGATATTTGAGGGTTTGGTATTCATATGTTCTCATTTTTGAAATGATGTATTTTAGGCAGTAAACATTTTATGCCAATTTCCTCTTAGTTGATACTTTGTGACCAGCCACAACTATATTAAGTTAACGGTAAATTTAGTCTGATACTCAGGAAATACACATCATTCCAGTTTTTAAAGACATGTTTCTTCAAACATTCATTTGTTGGGATGCTTTTGACTTTCTTAAATTTTTAAGATCTGCTGATGTAAGCTTCTTGGAAAGCCCAGCACAGGTCCCCAAGGCTCCCTGAGTAAGTAGGGGCTAAACCTCTCATTCACTGATATGATGAGTGGTGCCATGGGTAACATGCCAGGAACAGTAACTTCCTTCATGGGAATTCACTTTCTTAAAAATGCAGGAAAGAATTTTAAAACCAAATTCAGCCTTCAAGTTAAGTAATATGTTCTCTTATTTGTTTTCTTTCAGCTTACAGATATCTCTTCAAATAGGAAACTCAAATGCCTGTATGTATATCTTCTTATACTTGGGCCATTTGATAACATATGTTTGTTTCCCTGTTGCATTTTATATATCTATAATATAAATGGATTTGAGAGGCTTAGATGGAAATTTACCTGCTTGTATACCTGACCATAAAATGATGATGTAATAAAATCTATTAGCATATGGCAATATGAGAATGCTAGAGTATAATTTTTTTTATTGGTTGTTCAAAACATTATAAAGCTCTTGACATATCATATTTCATACATTAGATTCAAGTTGGTTATGAACTCCCAATTTTACCCCAAATACAGATTGCAGAATCACATCGGTTACACATCCACATTTTTACATAATGCCCTATTAGTAACTGATAGGAAAGGTAGTAGAGTATAATTTTGTAATGTAACTTTCTCTTTTGAGAAATAGTACAGTCATAATAGCTCTATATTATTGTTTATTTTAATCTTTTGGTACTGGGGATTGGATCTGGGAGTTCCTTATCACTTAGCTATCCCCAGCCTTTTTAAATTTTATTTTGAGACAGGGTCTTGCTAAATTGCTGAGGCTGTCCTCTAACTTGTGATCCTCCTGCCTCAGCCTCTTGCCATGGGATTACAGGTGTGCACCCATGCCTGACTCTATAGTACTATTAATGTAATTAATATGCATACATTATTATATAAATCATATCCTTTATACTGTCTTTTATAATGTCTATTCAATGGATTTTCCTGAATCCCTTAGTAAAAGAGTCAAAAGATGGGGGCTCTGGCCCCACCTTCTCTGTAGACCAACTAAATAGTCATTTAAATTTTATGTTCTTCAATTTTGTCACTGGGTAGTAGGACTAATAATATCTCCCTGGGAACTTAGTATCATCTGATCATTTCCTGGGGATCACAGGAACTTTTTGGAAGAGAAATACCAGTATTGATGATTTGTCTCAGTGGGAGCATTATCACCACCGTGCATGCAGGAGTGACCATGCCATGACTAGTTACAATTATTTTAAGGCTTAAAGAGATCTTTTTTTCTGTTCATCTCCCTTCCACTCCCACCTAACTATCTGTAGAAGCCGAGGACACCAACATTCTGTGTGTGGCCATCCTGATCTTAAGGCCCATTTCCACCCGAAGGGAAGGAGCTACCTGAAGAAAGCCAAGGATGAGAGAGCCGGACTGCAGCCTGCCAAGTCTGTTCATGAACAGGCTGAGTCCTCAAGAGAACTCTGCAGACCACCCAAGAAAGGGGAGCTTCTGGGGCTTAGCCGGAAAGGCAACATCAGGCCCAAAATGGCTAAAAAGAAGCCAACAGCGATTGTGAACATCATCTAAAAGGGTGGGTGGCTCAGGACCATCATCTCTTGCCTTTGGGGAATGTTGTTCCAGGGACCAATGTGATTGTCCTTTTGGGCACATCCCACAGTAAGACATTGGAAAAGCAAAGATCATGATGCACATAAGCACCTCAATTAACCAGAATTTAACAAAGGGGAATCTCAGTGAACCAGAATTTTATTATAACCTCCTTTTAAAAGGTTTAAAAGCAAGAAGCAAATTGTAGAAAGAACAAGAAGAAGAAGAAAAATAAAATGAAACAGTCTTATCCAAAGGTTTTAGTAAAACAAAGCTCCAGCTGATAAAATAATTGGCCCAGTCTCCATTAGTCCTGGCACCTGGGCCCCTTATGCATTGGTCATTAATGTTCAGGCTCAGGGCCTCACAAGATGTCAGACACTGGCAGAAATTTCATCTGTAGCTACAGCTTTCTAAATTGTGAGGCCAGGAATGGAAAAGTTCTGTTAATAGCAATGAAATGAAGATATTTTTGTTTGCATCTAACCTCCCCCTCTGTTAATTTGAAAGCCTCCAAAATAAGGATTCCTGTTTCCCCCGAGTTTTCTTCTGGTTAATCAAGATTTCAATCTTTAGGTTGCGTAAGGGACTTGTTCAGTCAGATTTCAGTTTTAATTTGACAGATTGCTTTTCAGTTTGTTAGTTTGAGTCAGGTTTTTTGGTGTCCATAGATGCATGTTCAGATTTTGGCACACCTGTGCAGTCGTCTTTGGCTGAGTATTCTGCACCCTCAAACCCAGCTGCCAGCCTCTATCTTAATAGCTGCTTTTGTGGTGTGGTTGAGGAGGGCAGTAAAACCCTTTTGATCAACAACCATCATTGGTGCAGCATCTGAGCACTTGGCATGACAGTAGATGGCACAGTTAGTGCATTGGGACCACCCTGGAAGCACTGCAGCCCTCACCTAAGACCACCTCCCCTGGTAGTTATCAGCAGCTTGCTCTCTATTAACCATGGGCATGACTTTCTTTTTGCTGGCTTAACTTTTCCAAAGAGCAGCTCCTTTCACCTCCTGCTGCTTGTATTAGCCCTTTTATGGCTAAAATATACTTTCTTACCTTTCAACCAAGTATCTGGGGTGTTCACTGTACAGTGTATTCTAACATAATTTCTGAACTAAACAATGCATGTAGGATCCAGAATCTGACACCATCTTCCCCAAATAGTTTTTTTTTTCCACAAAGAACTATCTTTTGAGAATTTCCTGCTTTAAAATTTTCTTCTAGAATGAATTTCCATAATTTTTTTCTCATAAATTTTTCAATGCCATTAGGTCTCATGCTGAGTTTTCAAGTGCTGACATCCTTCTGGAAACAAGAGCAATGTTGTCCACAGATATATACACATATACATATATATAATGCACATACAAGATATATGTCAGGTATATTAATAATTTATTTTTAAATCCTCATGGAGAAAGTGTGTGTTTGTGGTGGGTGGTTTTAAAACTATATAGGTTTGCTCATGTAAATTGAATTTTCTTATTTTAAAAATTAAAACTGTAACCTAATTAACACTAGTTGAATTATGATTGTTATTGCAATAAGCATCAGATTAGCAGTATATTTAAAATAGGTAATAAAGCAGTTACTTAAAATGACAGTAAATCAAAAAGTGTAACTTCTTATTTAAATATTTTGAACCTATCATAGTGAAGATGTTGATTTTTTTGAGTGTTCACTTTGACCTTTGGCTTATGGGGGTGGACCATTCGTATGGTACGTAGGCAGCTATCAAGTGGGAAAAAAATATTGCTGTGAATATCACTGTTTAGGCTAGCATTGTAAAAATGGTAATGTTATTATTTATTTGGATACTTAATCTCCTCCAAAGTTATTTAATATTGATGCTTCTATCATGGTTGCACTTTAGCTTTCCCATACTAAAAAATGACTTGTTAGTTGTATTGCATGCTCCTTGTCCTGTAATGTGTGTGCAAAGACAACAACTTTTTAAAAAATGCTATAGCCAGATTTTTTTTTCTGTTTCATTTTAAATAGCTCATAATTTTGATGTTCCTTTAACATGCCTAGAGGGCGTAGCAGCTCTCTTTGACAGTGGTATCCAGTGATCTTCAGAAAGCACCATAGTGTCATAATCTATAAACATCACATGAGGCAAATAATTTTGAGATTTATTATATTAAAAATTTTTTTTTTGATATCCGGGATTGAACTCAGGGGCACCTAAGTACTGAGCCACATCCTCAGCCCCTTTTTATTTTTTATATTGAAACAGGGTCTCACTAAGTTGCTGAAGTTGGCTTTAAATTTGTGATCCTCCTGCCTCAGCCTCCTGAGTTGCTGGGATTACAGATGTGTGCCATGGTGCCTGGCTTAATTTTTTTTCTTTTTAAGTTCAAACTAAATTATAATCCCCATACAAGGAAATGTGTTACGTATGTTATACTTCCTTTGAGACATAAATTTACTGTTGAAATATGGGAGCTGGTTTATTCAGAGGGATACTCCATTTACATGCCATGGCTTGAGCCGTGTGCCATGGGACACCATTTATGTCCTATTTTAAAATAATTTTCTTGTCTCCCTGGGCAATTAACCTTAAAGTTGAGGCAGTCGCTTTTTCGAAGAAATCACCAAAGTTTCTGGGAAACCGTGTTCAAAGTTAAACTGAAGAATAAATGAATTTTATTATTTGTCTTTTAGGGGAGAAAATTTTATTTGAACTATTCTTTCTTTTTTTTTCTTTCTTCCCAAAATAAATTACAGATTCTTATCTACAAAGTACAGGTTGCTTAGACACCGTTTTCCAGTATTCTGCAGGGCCAGTCAGTTGTTGTACAGAAGTTGGAATATTCTGTTCCCAGAATTTAAAAAAAAGTTTTTAGATTATGAAATATGATAATAAAGCTATATTTCTGACTAATGTGTTGTTATGTTTTGTCTAATTCAACTATTTTTGGGGAACCCAACATGTTGGTCTATTGACAGCAAAAGAGTCCTCAAATGATTTGTTCGTTGTATATATCATCACCATGGCCTTGTAAACTAGAAGCTTTCTGGAAAACTTAGCTTGACTGTTTTGTTCATCCTTTGCCTAAATCTGAAAGCTCTCTCTACATATGTTCACCCTGAGAAATCTTCATTAAAAGCCCATTTGGCACTTTATTCCTGTTTTCCTCCACAACTAGGAGTAATTTTTCTACAGTTTTTTTTTTTAAAAAACTTGTCAATTCCTAGCAGAACTATGAACAGATTTTACAGTATATGGCCCAACCTGTATCTGCTCTCCATCCTAGTCATTGCAAAATCCAGAGTGGTTAGGATAGAGAACAGGGAGAAGTGTATCACCATTAGAATCAGCCATTGATCTTTGAAGAACTGTGGGATCACAAAAATTTAGGGAATTCCATTTGTTCAGCTGATAAGGTTGTTGAGGAAGTGACTTTAACCTGTTCTTAGCACTGTTCAGGTTAAGGTTATTATGTGTTCACCAAATTATAGTTTTTGCTTCTTTCTTTTTGAGAAACCAGGTGACATTCCCGATTATTTATGGGCATTAGAAAACAAATTCTAGTATCTTGATTCTGTTTAATCTGGGTTTTTGAAAAATGAATTCCAGGGCTAGCACACATGCATGATCCTAAACAGAGGGCCTAAAGCAATTACAATATAAATGATAGGGAGATTTAGATATTGGATTCATTGTGAAATTAAGGTAGTTGATTTTTTCTTTTATTCATGTTCTGTACCAGTGAAATGGAGACGTGATTATTTAAGAAACAGCTATATAATCTATAGCTTGGTGATAAATTTACTCTGCATGTATAGCTATGATTCTAAGAAGAGTTTTTCCAGAGGAGGAATGTTATCTATAGGCAGGCTACATTCTGCCCACCCTGTAATGGGGACATTGGCTGATTTCACATTTGGGGTGGTAGGTGCCTAGAATGGTAAATGAGGACTTTGATACCCTCATCCTGTGAGAAGAAAAGATAAAACAGCTGTCCTCAGTTATCTGAAGTGTCAACACAGGGGAAATTACTTGGTAATATCTTTGAAAGATATTACCAACATCTTGCCTTCCTTAGATATTTCCAGGTAGTTTTAATTATGCTTCAACATTTGACTTTCTTTTGAAAAAAAAAAGTTGTAAAGAAGCAGAAGTCAAATCATTGAATGAGGAAATCTCTAAGTGCAACATGGAAGCAGTCACCTTGAAAAAAAAGTGAGCTCCCTCTGTCTGAGTTCCTCTTTATGGAAGGTGGAATGGATTCTTCTAGAAGTTTTATAGCTCCAGGATCCTATGGTATATGTACTGATACTACATTAATACAGATGTTAGCCACAATAGACTTAATGTTGATGTGGCACACTTGGAGACAGGGACTTTGTAAAGTTTTCTGTAACATATATCCACACTGATCCTCTGAGAATCCTTTTGAGACAGGGAGGGATGAGGAGGTATATTTTTCTTCTCTTAGCAGGTGGAGAAACAGCAGTTGTAGAAGTAGGAGATGTACATCTGGCACTGTTACCTCAGCATGTTGAGCTTCTCAGAGCGGAAGCATCTCACCTCGTTGAGTGTGGTTTCAGTGTTTCCAGAGAAGGTACATTTTTGTTAACAACATGGTTCCTGAATGCAAGCCAGCCACTTCATCTGGTGTTCAGTTGAATCAACAGCAACCCTTTCCAACACTGGGGGAGGAATTGGCAATGTTGGACCTGGTGAGAGATGTATGGCGTGTTAGGCTCCAACATCGTGCCTTCCGTAGGCATTTCCGGGTAGTTTTAATTATGCTTCAACATTTGACTTTCTTATGAAAATACTAAAGATGGTGACTAGATCCCATTTTACAATGAAACCAAGGTTTATGAGGTTTGAAAAATTCCTTCTGCATTGCATCCAATGCTCTTTCACAACATTGAGCCTCCTCACTGGAAAAAGTCCCAGAGAAGGGTCTTAAAATATATGAATTTATTGATTACACAAAGGTCCTCATTGTCCTAAAATTCACTTCAATATCAACTATTGCACCCACTTTATGCAAGCCACTGTAAGGGATATAAATATTACCACACTGTAATCTCTAGACTTCCACCACCCTTTATAGAAGAGCTGCCTGCCCCAGCTTCCCAAGAATTCCAACATCTCAAAAGCCAATGCCTCAAAGTCTGTTAGAGTTTAGTGCACACATTTTTGGACACTTCACACTGGTACTTTACTAACTAATGAGTGGCAGTAAGTTCACCCTGGTTGGGTGTATGTCCTAGAGGGTTTTTTTTTCCTTTTTTTTTCTAACAATCTCTTCTTTTCCATTCCTAATTCTTTGTTCAAAGGAAAAGACTCCACTCTTCCTATTCTCAGAAATGTTCCACTTTATTCTTAAGTGTGCCTATATCTTGACATGATAGCTCACCTTCTCATGTGATCCAAAACTTGGGGGAGGAACCAAGATTCCTTAGGGAGAGGGACACCCTGTCCTGAAAACAAAAGAGCTTAATAGAATGGACTAAGGGCAAGTGAAAGGACATAGTTATT